ACTGACGTAACACCCAGTTCCTGAACCCTCCCTCCCCCTCTCAAAACAAGTTACTGACGTAACACCCAGTTCCTGAACCCTCCCCCCCCCTCTCAAAACTATTTTTCTTATTTTTTTCTCTCATAAAGTTAGAACCAGAAAACTGCGGAATAGGAAGACGACATTAAGTTTATTGATTTTGTTTCAAAGCAATTAGATTTACTAGTCACTTATTTAATCACTTGAGAAGTGAAATGGTTCCGTTTATACAATAACAATTCCTGTTTCTCATTTTATCAGACTATGTTAAGTCACAACTAAAGTCTAAAACTCGTCTTCCTTTTTCAGAATTTTCTAGTTCTCATTGTATATATTATTTTTAAAACCATGTAAATCTAACGGAAATGAAGAACTGGGCTGATATCTAGTTCTAGTTCCGGTTCCGGTAAATGCGTGTTTATCAAAATATTTTTATTTCTTAAAATTAACAATTCTCTGCTTGGGAAATATTGCTCACATGTTACCCAGTGGATAATCGTTATGACTTACTACTCCCTATTTGTTAAACCCTTTTTATACCTGCCGGAACTCAGTAAAGAAGACAGTTGATGACGATGTTATTAAAAGTGCAACAGGCCCAATTTACAAATGTACCCTTCCCCTTCAAACCTCACCCCTCCCTTTCTACTCATTCCGTTCTCTTCCAACCTTCACCCTTCTATGCTCCCTCTCATTTTTCGTACGTTCTCTACAATCCTTCATTCTTCTATGCTCCTCCTCATCTTCCATCCCTCCCCTCTCCATGTTCCCCCTCATATTCCATCCGTTACCTTTCATCCCTCCTCTCTCATGTTCCCCTTCATATTCTATCCGCTACCTTCCATCCTTCACCCAACCATACTCCCCCTCATATTCCATCCTTCCCCTTTCCATACTCCTCCTCAAATTCCCCCCCGTTCCGTTCCATCCTTCCCCATTCCATGATCCCTTAATCTTTCATCCGTTCCCTTCCGTCCTACTCATCTTCCGTCCATTCCCCTCCATCTCTTTTTTCCATTCCCTTCCATGTCTTTCCATTTTCTTCCATCTCTTTCCATCTCTTTCCATTCCCTTCCATCTCTATCCATTCCCTTCCATCTCTTTCCATTCCCTTCCATCTCTTTCCATTCCCTTCCATCTCTTTCCATTCCCTTCCATCTCTTTTCATTCCCTTCCATCTCTCTACATTCCCTTCCATCTCTCTACATTCCCTTCCATCTCTCTACATTCCCTTTCATCTCTTTCCATACCCTTCAATCCCCATGTTTTTTGGGATACCCTGTAGTTTCAAGTGACCCTTGGTAGGCTGTCAAGTCCTATTTTCAACTGTTACCCTTGAAATCTTTGTCTGATCAAGTATATGAACAGGATATCTATATATTGTTCTTTGAAAATTAATTATTCTCAAACAAAAGTGGCGGGCGCATTTCTTGCTTCAGAAACAAATCGAAACGTTATCAGAATCAAACAGTTTTTAACCGACGCCAAACGACCTTATTTTTAATTGTTTATAACAAATTAAGGTTTCAAGGGTACCATTGGGAATCAGGAATGTCCCTCTTAAAATGGAGGTTTCGTAGAAATTACGCCTGCTAACCTTTTTAATTCATTTCCTTTTACATAAACAATGAACAGAGTCCGAATTTAAAGAATTTGAGCTATGTCTCAAATCCACCAAAAACTGGGTTCAATTTAGCGCCGGCTTAAATCTTGAAACATTGAATAAAATTTTAAATGGAACCAACCATATTTGATCTGAGTCTCTAATTTAAGCCGCGTCTCAAATTCTTTAAATTCGGCCTCAGATGTTTGATATTTAACAACTATTTTCATTTTTTCTCTCAATAAAGCTTTAGTTTAGACAGTTTTTAAATTTAAAAAAATCAAGAATTCTTTTCAAATAAATTCTGTTAAGAATTTTTGAAGAAAAGGCTAGAAGGACATTCATGATTCTGAGGGATCTTAAATGGATTTATTTCGAAACCCCGTTTGAATGAAATGAATGAAAACAAACAAAAAATATCATGTTTTGGGAGCTCAGAAATGTTTACAAAATCAAAGTCCCGATTTTTATGGAACTTCCTGTGATTGTAAGGGTGTCCCGATAAAATCAATGAATCAAAGACGACAAAAAGTTGTCACTTAATCCCATGGTTTCAGGGACACCTGGATATTAAAACAAGGTTTGACCAGGCAATATTAATCATAGCTTTGTACCCGTGGTACAAAATATACAATATATATAATATATATATATATATAAAGGGTTGTTAAACCATATTTACGTGATATGCCATGGTCTATACAGTCTACAGTCTCGTTTTAATCTCAAGAGAAGTTGATTAATGAAGAATTACTGGCACGACATTGTGACCTCGTAACTTTTATTTTACATTCAAGAGTGTGGGGGAAAATATTTGGTTCCATACTTTTTTCTCCTTCCCTTGAAAAGAGTTTCTCGTTTGTTCGGTTTCCTCATCTTTTTTTTAATCTTATACTAGGACTGAAGCCAACTATGTTTATCTCTCACATTTTATTTATAATTCCGAAAAAAATGATTGTGTTTCGATATGTTTTAGTTATGCTTAATATAAGGAACAAAATAACAGTATTGTGCACTGTTTAATGTCCATGATGATTATTATTTTTATA